TTTTTTAATTATCCCACTGTCTGTCTTACCTTGAAGACTGTGTCCTCTGGTCTGATTCATGACAAAAAGGTCAATAAAAGAGCTTTTAATATATCTTACATTCTGGATACTCCAACAGTTTCTTCAACAGATTAGGTTGTTTTTCCATTATGATACATTAAGACTCTTAAAGTAACACAAAGACATCCTTCATGTTTTTTTCTCTTTATTACCAAGTAGAACAGATGTTACATTATATAGACATTTTATATATTTACCTTTAAAAGATTTGGGTGGGAAATTGACATGAGATGTTTGCATATTCTGACTCTAAGACATGAAAAACATTAAATCCAAAAGGCAAGAAAAAAATAAAGGAAACCATCAGAAGTTAAACCACTGTTGTTCATTAATAAGGCGAAAATTATGTTTTTTCAGTTTATTGTAACAGTATTCATACCCTCCAAGCTCCTTTTGTCACTTTAACCCTCAAACTTCTTTGCAATTTAATGGGATTGTACCGGATAAACCAGTAAAAAGTTAGGTATGGTTAATAAGGGAAGAAATAAATATTTAAAAAAATGCAAGCAGGCATTTCCTCTTTTGATTCATCTTCTGGAGGAAAGGAAGGAGATTTTACTTTGAAAAAACAGAAAGGCACACAGCAGACGGGTCAGAGAGTGCTGGGAAGTTTAAATTAGGGTTAGTTTAGAAAATAGTATGACGGAGAAGGGAAAACAGAAGAAGCTAAGAGGCCCATGGGGACTGGAGGAGCTGTAGAGATCCACAAAATAGATGAATGTTGTAAATCCTAAAACAAGGGCCATTATGGAATGATCCTGTCTTAAGTTTGAACAATTTAGTTTAGAGGAAAACAGCAAACAAGTGAAAGAAGATGCAGATGTGACTGAAAATTACCTTTTTAGCCAAAATGTAAAACCAACACTGAACATCAACCTAAACATACCATAACGGTGGTTAAACAGTGAGGGCTTCATAATGTAAAGGTGGTTTTCTTTAACAGGGACATTGTGAAAGATGCGTCAGAAACTTGAAAAGAGTTAAAAGAGTGGCAGAGGTTCATATTCCAGAAGGACAATGAGAAAAAATTAGCAGAAACACAAACAAAGGACAAAGGTTTACATCCAATAATACTGAACGGCCTAGTCAAAGCTCAGATTTAAATTAGGTTTGGTAAAATTTTGTAAGGCCTGAAAAACTGTTTCCTATTTAATCCAATCTGAATTAGCTCAAACTATGATACCAAGAACGAGAAGACCTGCTACAATCATACCTAGAAAGTATTAACCCAAAGGAGCTAAAGCCAAATCCACACCACACATGCCAAAAATCCGATCAACTATGTAAAGATCTGCATCATTTTCTCTATAATTCAGATTTTTACATTTAATTTTTGTCTCCTACATAAAAAATAGAGGCAGAGCTGGGTAGACTACTACTTTAATATTGGTTTACTCAAGTAAAAGTAGAAAGTAGTCATACAATAATTTACTCAAGAGTACTTGGTAGAATGGCAGGTTAAGTACTGAGTATTTGTTGGCTCATAATATCTGATTTAATATTTAAAC